CAAAAGCCAAAATAGACAGATGGGATCTAATTAAACTTAAGAGCTTCTGCACAGCAAAAGAAACTATCATTAATGTGAACTGATAACCAACAGAATGGGCAAAAATTTTTGCAATCTTAAGCACATTTATAAGAAAAAACCAAACAATCCCCTCAAAATGTGGGTGAAGGATACAAACAGATACTTTTCAAAAGAAGACATTTATGCAGCCAACAAACATATGAAAAAATGCTTATCATCACTGGTCATTAGAGAAATGCAAATTTAAACCACACTGAGATGCCATCTCATACTAGTTAGAATGGCAATCATTAAAAAATCAGGAGACAACAGATGCTGGAGAGAATGTGGAGAAACAGGAACTTTTTACACTGTTGGAGTGTAAATTGGTTCAACCATTGTGGAGGACAATATGGTGATTCCTCAAGGATCTAGAAACAGAAATACCATTTGACCTGGCAATTTCATTACTGGGTATATATCCAGAGGATTATAAAGCATTCTATGATAAAGACACATGCACATATATGTTTATTGCAGCACTATTCACAATAGCAAAGACTTGGAACCAATCCAAATGCCCATCAATGATAGACTGGATAAAGAAAATGTCGCACGTATATACCATGGAATATTATGCAGTCATAAAAACGGTTGAGTTCATGTCCTTTGCAGGGACATGGATGAAGCTGGAAACTATCATTTTCAGCAAACTGACACAAGAACAGAAAACCAAACGCTGCATATCTCACTCATAAGTGGGTGTTGAACAACGAGAACACATGGGCACAGGGAAGGGAACATCACACATGGGGCCTGTTGGGGGCAGGGCGGGGGTTGGGGAGGGATAGCAGTGGGTGGGGGGATTGAGGAAGGATACCTAATGTAGATGATGGGAGGATGGGTGCAGCAAACAACCATGGCATGTCTATACCTATGTAACAATCCTGCAGGAGCTGCACGTGTACCCTAGAACTTAAAGTATAATATAAAAAAATAATTAGCTTGATTTAGTAGTTCTACAGTGCATACATATATCAAAGTGTGATGTATACTACAAATATTTACAGTTTTTGTCAATAAAAACATAAAGGCCCAGCGTGGTGGCTCACGCCTGTAATCCCAGCACTTTGGGAGGCCGAGGTGGGCAAATCTCAAGGTCAGGAGATCGAGACCATCTTGGCCAACATGGTGAAACCCTGTCTCTACTAAAAATACAAAAATTAGCTGGGCATGGTGGCATGTGCCTGTAGTCCCAGCTACTTGGGAGGCTGAGCCAGGAAAATTGCTTGGACCCACGAGGCAGAAGATGCAGTGAGCCAAGATTTTGACACTGCAGTCCAGCCTGGTGACAGAGTGAGATTCCTTCCAAGAAAACAAAACAAAACAAAACAAAACAAAACAAAACAAAACAAAACAAAACAAAACAAAGAAAAAAAAAAGAAAAAGAGAGAATGGCTGCTTTAATGGTGCAAAATTAGTCAAAACAACAGAGCAGAGAAAAGCCATAACTGAGGAGGAGTCTCCTATCTCCCCTTGAATTCCACTATGTTGTTGCCAAGGAAAGAGAGGTGTGTGCCACTGTCTGACAGGGTGATAGAAGCCATGATTCAGGCTTCCATGCTAGTTTAGGAGTGCCGTGGGGTCTGCATTTTTATTTATTGGTATATTTAAAAGAAATATAATACATATACAAAAAAGTACCTTAAAATAAATACAGTTTTTAAAAAACTTTAAAAAAATTCTCAGTCAATTGCTATCAAAGATAAATAGAATACTTCCTCTCTCCAGAAGTTTGTTATGAGGTCCTCCCCCTTCGCAACTCTCCTTGCTCCTATATCTTGGCTGTGGTTATAATAATTTACTTGTGTGGTTTAAAGCTTTGTCATATGTGTATATATCCCTATATTATGACTTTGTTTAGCCCATTTTTCAAAAAAATTATATTGTTTCTAGGTACTTTCTTTAATAAGATGAATGTTTCTTTCTCACATAAAAGAGACCCAAGGATAGGCAGCCCAGGGCCCATATGGTGGATTAAAAAGGTCATCAGGGACTTAAGCTTCTCTTTTTCCCTGCTCTGCTGTTTTCTATGCATTGCTCTCATATTTAAGTCGCTTTATGGTCCACAATAGCTGCCAGGGCTCCAGCCATCACATCCATTCCCCAGGCCAGAAGAAAGAAAAATGAAAGGAAAGTGTTTTGAGGTTTGTGCTGTTACAACAATACTTCATGAACATTCTGAACCCATATCCTAGTGTGCATGGGCAAGAGTTTCACCACTGTGTATAGCTAGCTCACTGGAATATCTGGGTCATTGGTTGTATATTTTTTATTCCTAAAGGATTGCCAAATTACTTTATAAAGTTGTTAAACCCATTTATACTACTCATTTTTCATATCTTTGTCAACACAGTGATGTCATAGTTTTAAATTTTTGCTAACTTAGTGAACATATTGTAGTTTTAAGTGTGCATTTTCCTGATCATTCTCATGAGAATAATGCTTATTCTCAATTCCCAATGAGAATAAGCAGCTCTTCCTACGTTTATTAGCTATTTGGGTATTCTCTACCTTTGTCAATCTGGTTTTCTATTCTGAATTTCTTTTACATGTTCAACCTCACAATGTCCATGAAAACTTTTTATTAGCCCAACATGGATCAGTGCTTGTTTCTGAATCTGTCAACTACAAGATGTGTGGTGAATAATAATAATATTATTATTATACTTTAAGTTCTGGGTTACATGTGCAAAACATGCAGGTTTGTTACATAGGTATACACATGCCATTTGCTGCATCCATCACTCTGTCATCTACATTAGATATTTCTCCTAATGCTATCCCTCCCCTAGCCCCTTACCCCCTGACAGGCCCCGGTGTATGATGTTCCCCTCCCTGTGTCCATGTGTTCTTACTGTTCAACACCCACTTGTGAGTGAGAACATGTGGTGTTTAATTTTCTGTTCTTGTGTCAGTTTGCTGAGAATGATAGTTTCCAGCTTCATCCATGTCCCTGCAAAGGACATGAACTCATCCTTTTTTATGGCTGCATAGTATTCCATGGTGTATATGTGCCACATTTTCTTTATCCAGTCTATCATTGATGGGCATTTGGATTGGTTCCAAGTCTTTGGTATTGTGAACAGTGCCACAATAAACATATCTGTGCATGTGCCTTTATAATAGAATGCTTTATAATCCTTTGGATATATACCAGTAATGGGATTGCTGGATCAAATGGTATTTCTATTTCTAGATCCTTGAGGAATCGCCCCACTGTCTTCCACAATGAATTATTTTAATAAAACTGTTGTTTCCATATGGAGAGATAATGAGGATCAACTTTTCATGAAATCAAAGTTGGGTAGAGGAGTTCATATATTCATAAAATAACATATTCACTTAAAAATACATCCTTTTATTATCCTTGACTATGTGGGACATAGATACATGCACTCCACCTATCCAGTTAAATACTCACTTATTTTATTCCTTGGTACAAAGGATTGAGTTATACATTTTCCTCAGTTCATTGCTTTCATTGACTTTTACCATCATTGGCTGGTGATCTATTTTACTTTTGTCAATGGCCATTAAACTCTAGCAAGGGTCTAGGGTTGACATCAGAAAGCGAAGGAAAGGGAAGAGAAGATATGGGAGCAATCTATATTGAACGCCTGATTAGTGTTTGGCTATTTCTTATTCCTCATTTTATTTAATTTTTACAATATCCTCTTGAATTGGGAATTGTTATACTTGCTTTATGTCTGCAAAATTAAATCATTTACCCAAGCCTCATAATAAGTCAGTGGTGGAATCAGAATTCAAATTCAGTCTGACTCCATGCCTTGTCTACTGCTGTATACTCTGAGTACTCTTTGACTCATGAGGAAATACTTCCTTAATAGCAAAATGGGAATTTTACATTAAACCATGTTTTTTCCATTTGCAATAAAGTTGCCAGAAGGCTCAAATAGAAACAAGCCTGTACTAAAAAAATTCTTTCAAAAGGCTTTGGACTTAGCAGTGAAGAAAACATTCTGTTCTCAAGGGTTTTGCAGTCTGGTGCAGGAGTCATGACGACTTTCCCCTCTTACCAGATCCTCATTAGAGAGGGTAGTATTGGGTTCCGTTGTCTCTCTGTTTATCTGTCTGTGCTCTCTGATTTGCTGTTCCTGGAAACTGGATACTTGGTAGGAGAGAACTGTTCATGAGACAGGCAACAGGGTGAGGAGGTGAAGAAATGCGCCGTGGCCTTCAGAAACGAGAGACCTTGAGGAGACATTCCCAAAGGTAATATGGTTCAGTTTATCTTGAAGATACCAAAGTAACATGAAAGCAGGAACAGCAAAACCAGTAAGGTGCCAACTGATAAGGAAATTTTCAAGTTCCATTGTTCCGGCCCGAGCAAGAAGGAAGACACTCTAAGGGGGGTAAACTTCTGAAAAGAGAAGTTCATTTCTCAAACTTCCTTCCCTTGGCAGGTTGGAGACTGAGTTTTGCCTTACACAAAACTCCCTGCTTAGTGAGGTGATCAGTCCTTCATATTAAAAGAAAAAAAAAGACCAATTTGTACAATTTACAGAGCTCCCCAGATACAATCTTTGACACAGAGAAAAAAGTGGGATGGATGGGAGCAAAAACAAGAGGGAAAGGATGGCAAGCCCAGGCCTGAGTGCAGAGAGTATTGGAGCAGAATGAAATAAACTCAAGACTTATGGGACCTGAGATTCTGTAAGTTGTGACGTTAGAAAATAGCAAGAGACTGCTGAGTGCTGAGGAATGGATTGAAAGTGGAAGAAGGGGGCAGGAAGAAAGAACATGGAATTGCTGGAAACTAATTTCCCCACAGTTGTGTTTTTTCCTGTGTGCCTGGTGGTACCTACCTTCCATCTGCTCTCTATTTGTGGGTATAGGTTGATTTAATAATGGTGCCTATTGGGATATATTGATATGGGAAGAAAGCGGACTAAAACAAGAATTCCTCTCACTCAGATCTACATACTCAGGGACACCTGGAGTCTCCCAGTGACCTTTCTGAAGGTGTCTTTTACATCCTTGTTTCTTAAGCTGTAGATCAGAGGGTTCAGCATGGGGATGATCACGGTGTAGAAGACAGACACGACCTTGTCTTCCTCCAGGGATTTGCCCGAGCCGCTTCGCAGATACATGAAGATAAGTGTCCCAAAGAAAAGGGCCACAGCAGTGATGTGGGAGGCACACGTGGAGAAAGTCTTGGCCCCGCCACCTGAAGACTTCACTTTCAAAATGGTCTTGATGATGAGCAGATAGGAAATCAGGATGACCGAGGCATTGGCCAAAATCACAAAATTGCCAAAGAAGATGATGACAATCTCTCTGTTTGCTGTGTCACTGCAGGCAAGCTTCAGCAGGGGCGGGAGGTCACAGAAGAAGAAGTTGATTTGATTGTCATCACAGAAGGAGAGGGTGAAGGTGCACGTGGTACGCAGGATGGCCCCTGACACCCCACAGACATAAGCTCCTACCACCAGGCTCCAGCAGAGTCTGGGACTCATGGCCACGGTATAGAGCAGTGGGTTGCGAATGGCAACATAGCGGTCATAGGCCATCACTGCCAGCAGGAAGCACTCTGTACCTGCACAGATGGTGAAGAAAAAGAACTGGGCAGCGCAGCGGCCGTAAGAGATGACCGTTTTGCCTGTGACCAATGTGGCTAGGACCTGAGGGGTGATGACTGAGGTATAGCAGGCATCCAGCAGGGAGAGGTGGCTCAGGAAGAAGTACATTGGGTTGTGGAGTTTGACATCTACTTGGATTAAAATAATCATCCCCATATTCCCAAGAAGGGTGACTAGGTAGAAACTCATAAACACCAGGAAGAGGGGAATCTCCAATTTGGGGTGGTCTGTAAAGCCCATGAGAATGAATTCAGTTACTGTGGTGAGATTATTCTTGGCCATGGAGACAACGTGGACCATTGGTCTGAGGATGAGAATGAAATAAAAAGAATTTCAGAATTGAAGGACAGAATCTTTCCCTCTGCAGTAGACGTTTTGGTTTATAATTCTGGGCCTATTTGTAGAGCTTGTTTTTAAGCAATTCTGAAACTGGCTGATTTTCCTTGGGCATCTCTTGCATTTTATGGAACTGAGCCTTAAGCTGGTATTTCTGATTCAAATTAATTCGAGTTTACATTTGGAAATTTCTGTGAAGATAAGAGGCACACAATTCTCAGGTTTGGAAGAGACCTAGACAGCATCTGCTCTAATCCCATCTGGGGCTGGAGTCTGACTTACCACATGCCCACCACACGGTCACTCAGTTGCCATATGAGCCTCCATCTGCGAACAGTTCCACCTGTTGATTCTCTTTGTGGACCTGGGCTCTCTCCTTCTGTACCTTTCACACACTGGTCTTGGTTTTGCCCCTTCTAGACACTCACAGCAATTTTAATCACTTCTCCTCATGAAAGCCTTTCACGATTTGAAAGCTTATGAATCTGCTCTTCCTGTCCACTATTCCCTTATAGTACACATTGATATATTTTCCTTCTTATTATATAATTATTCAGTGGGCAGTAAAAAAAATTTGCCTATTCAAATAGTATTAACTGATAACTAAAAGTCTTTCTTTCTACTTTAATTGTCACCACCCCAGCTCAGAGGCCATCGTCTTCAACGTATTGCATTCTAAAGTTGTTTGGTTGTTTATACACCAGGATTATAAATAATATGTTCAAACTCGTGGGCTCACTACCTTTATATGACCTTGGGTAAGTTACCTAACATCTTCGTGCCTCAATTCCTTATTCATAACAGAGAAATATGCCTGCGTCATAGGGTTCTTTCAATTTTTTTAAGGAAGAGAACATAGATTTATTATCTTTGTTTTGAATTTGAATATGACTTTTTATTTTTTATTTTCATAGGTTTTTGAAAAACAGATGATATTTGATTACATGAGTGAGTTCTTTAGAGGTAATTTGTGAGATTTGGATACATCCATCACCTGAGCAGTATATGCTGAACTCAATTTGTAGACATTTAAGTATTAAATAAGTTAATACCTGTAACTGATGTAGGTCAGTGCCCAGCACATAGAGCTAAATAATGTTGGCTATTTTTGTTGTTACTATTGTCATCAATTTTAGATAGTAGCTATTGACTTTCTCTTCTGAAACAGAATTTATTTACCCCATATAAACTTTATTAATATTGCTATCTTTGAGCGATATATTTGTATCTTTATTTCACTAAGTTTGACTCTCACTGAGTAAGATGAAGAAATTATTCCCTTGTTCTTTCCTCTCTCCTCCCTTCCATCCCATTAACAAAAAAATCAGTCTTTTATCCCATTCATATGGCCATGCTTGCTAATTTAAGTCTCCTCTATATTTTGATGATGGGTTGATTCTACTATCAGTAGGTTGTGTTTCTCTATTATGATTATGTGCATGCCATACACAAAAAGACTAAATATTGTGACTGGATACACAGAAGACGAGATGTCTCTAAACTTCTGCTTCTAGGAGAAGCTTTCAAACATCAAGTCAAATGAGTGCTCCTTTCTTTTGCTCTACCAACTGCTTAAAATAATTATGTTTAGTTTGCTTTATATTTGAGTCATGGAAATTTTTCATTTCCTAAGATTTCCTCTTGCCATATGATACAGATTTGAGTCACCTCATAATACTGCATAAAACCATATTCCAAGTCCATTCAGGATACTCATTAAAATGCCTAAAAGCTTCCTGGGGGCCTTTGCATGGAAGCTCAGATTCCCATCTCTCTCTCTCTCTCTCTCTCTCTTTTTTTTCTGAAGGTATGTCTACACTCCCAGGATCTTCCACATACAATACCTTATGGAAATCTGGCAACAATCTTACTGGAGAGGTGACGTTAGTCTTGTTTGTGATTGAGAAATGGAGATTAGAGACATGAAACTATCTGTTGGCCCACATTGTAGAGGAGCCAGGATCCAGACCCAAGATCCTGATTCCATTATCCTACACTGCTCCCCTTGTAACCATTTGCCTGGCCTCCCTGATATCACACCCCAAATTCCCTCAGGTTGGAATCGTCAATTCAGAGTTCTTGAATCTAGAACTATGTTTGATAAAGTCATGAATATAAAAATTAGGTTGTTAGGAAACTTTTCCATGTAGCACAACTAGTAATTTTCTTTGCTATGGCGACACGGAGATTGCTATTTTTGATAAAATCCATAGCAGTAAGAATGCATCATAATACCTTTTTCTACTTCCTTTCATGCATTTTATATCCTTAAATGTCTGTGATTGCCTCCACACCCCTGTGAAGTGGATGTGATTGATATTGTCATTATTTTGGCACTGAGAAAACTGACACTCAAGAGAGGTTAATGACTTGCCCGAAAGTCAAATAATTAGTTGTTTGCAGACTTGGGGATAACAGGCAGGTCCTCTGGCTTCCATGGGATCCCTCTTTTGCTTCCCTTTCATTTAAGGTTTAATTCCACTGGGACCTGTCAGGAAGAGGTTTTGAACTTGTGATGAGGCCCCGCCTACAGAATCATTGTGATTGCTTTTTTCACTACATGGGTAGAGAGAGACAAGCAGCACACACTGTCATGAAAGGGCTCATGGTAGCTGTTCTTGGGTCTGGAGCTTACTTCAGCTCTAATCAGGGTCCTAGTGGGAGAGAGACATTGACAGATCAAGTCAAGCATGTTGAAGGGCTATTCCGTCCACCTTGCTCCAGCAGCAGGGGCTAGGGATGAGTCAGTTTCTTTGGAAGGCCTTCATGGTACGGTTCAAGCTCTATGGTTGTCACCTCTATGACAGCCGCTCACTAGCTGAGTAACCCTCAAACGTTTATTTTCCTTTCAACTTGGGCTTCACTTTCTGTTCTACAAAATGGTAGAGCTAGATTATATGACCACTAAATCTTTTGTTTCTCACAAATGTTTCTCATAAATCCATGATTTATATGTCTAGGTATATAGGCTCTTTAGCTACTAAATACTGAGTATGTAAAGCAATGCAGGCACGAATTCAAGTAATTTATAGTTACTTAAATATAATAGCATGGGATCTTAGGTACAAAATTAAATGACGCTTACTCCTCAGTTCCTGATAAACCATCATCATTGGTCAGGTCAAGGCTTATTTTCATTTCATTTTATTTTATGATTTTTGCTAGTCCTGCCCCATCCCTACTCCTTCTCCTGTTTCTCTTAAGTGTGCACTCTAGTGTATTCAAATATATATCCTTCCATGTTTCTTCTTTTCATATGTTTTTAGAAATATATGTATGTTCAAAATATAGTGGCTGTGGTATGTTTTAAAATTTGTGTGCATGATATTGTGACATAAATCCCATTTTTTAAAGCATACACTGTATTTTCATTATTTGTTGATGAATTTTGGTAAATTTAGTTTGTTTTTTTCTGATTTTGTTATGGTCCTCCTTGGTATGCTTATAACATATTTTATTTATTGATTCTACTAGAGACTGTGAGTGCTTCACATATATTATTTAATCCTGAAAACAGCCCTTTAAGCAGACATTAGGATCTTATTTTCACCCTTGAGGACTTTAAATCTCTGAGAGATTACTTTGTCTAAAATTACCTCCTGGTGAAAGGAGAAGCAGAAGAGTTAGTTGGTGGGAAATCCTCTGCTTTTAACTAGAAATTTGTTTTGTTGTCTCCCTATATCTTTCTTATATCTTTATAATCTATGGAACCAAAGAAATCTCCCTGCAGTTAATCAGATCTTTTTTTACCTTCAAATAATGAGGTAACTTGGTTATTTCAACATCTTTCTCATCATCTAATTCTGAAATTGTTACAGTCCATCTTATGTCTAGCTCATGGCTATTTCCTGATTAGAGACAATTGTTCAAGGCTCCTAACCAGAGATTAGGTGGCAGATTGTTGGGGTGCAGAGGCAATCACACTGAGTTTGTGGTACATGCATGTGAGGCCTGTTTTATATATTAGCTCTGGTCCTTCCTGCAGCCCTCCAAGTTGAGTATAGCTACAGCTATTTTGTGGATAAACAAAGCAGAGTTCAGAGAGGTTGAGAGAGTTGTTCAACTTGTTATACACCTGGGAAGGACAGAACAGATATTTGAACCTAGGACTTTCTAACTCCAAATTCTGTATTCTTTCCATCTTATCATGCTCTCTTCTTAGGGGAAGAGAAAGACCCTTTCTGCAGACCCAAGCCCCAAACTTTTAAAATCAAAGTGCCTCTCTAAAACCATTAGGCAAATACTCAACTTCTATGAGAGTAAATTATAAAGATTGATTTTGGGGTTCTTTGTGGACCATGTTTTTTCTTCTTTTTCTTTCTTTATAACTTGAGAGAGACTTAGTTGGACCATATCCTTCTTGATATGCCCTTGGAAAATGGCTCAACCAATTGGAACCTCAATTTTTTCAATAATAAAATAACATAATAACAATTATTGAAAACTTAGAATGATTTTTTATCTATTATGATAGAGTTCGCTTATTTCCCAGAAAGGCAATTTTCAAAATATTTCCCAGAGGGAAAAATTTTAGGTCCAGACTGGTGACACCCAGTTTTGTGTGATCTTGTTTAAGAAGGAGACTGGGGTAACATCAGCTTGGGCCAGTCCCAGAGTAGAGATACAGACAACTAACTCCCTGAACCCAGGACAGTTTACAAAAGGGAAAGCAATGGTTTATGGCCAGTGATGCTTTTAAGAAAGACGAGGAACACTATGGATTGATGTTATTACCTGTAATATATTTAAATTATGATATGTGACATAGAATATATGACCTTATGTGACCTCTGGATGGCATTGGGAAAGATTCCTCTGATTCAGGAGGAGCTCTTTACAGAGGAGATGGTCCCTAACCCTCATACTTTCTTTAACTTGGAACCTTCTCCAAATTCTTCTTCATTTTGCCTCCAAAGATCGAGTCCCTTGGGAGAGTGAAGGAGCTC